CATGGATGGCGTAGTGGTTTAAGCGGACACTTCGCCGTTCCCACTGCGCAGAGTGTTGTGGGTTCGATCGGCAACACTTTGTGAGATACACAATTTGTTGTTTAGAGTCTGGGTATTATTTGTGTCCGTTTAATGTATGTTCGTAAAGATTTCTGTGACGGTTCACTGCTGGACATATGCCTCTCTTTAGAAAGGAGGTTTTGGCCTACTATACTACGCTGGCCAGACGGGTTGGTATAGGGTTTATGTCAAGATTTCCTTCTCTTTGCAGTGTTGTTGTCCTGCGTAGTTTGCTCTTACGACCCTTAGTCGGCTCTTACGACACCCACGAGATGAATGGGGGTGGGGACAATCCGTATTCTTAATCCGTCACCACACTTATTCTATAATTACTTATTTATTAATTAGTTACTTATTAATTGGTTTCTTATTACGATAAATTAGATACCGGACCTTCCATTTTCTTGGAACGCGAAGTTCCTCTTGTCGATACTTTTTCAATATCTTTAGATAGTGACCATTAAGCGGTTTCTATTCGTTCGTTAGTCGTCAACAACAACAAGAAGTAAAACACTAAGCACTGCAAAGAGAAGGACAGAAATCCTATGCCAACCAGTCTGGCCAGCGTGGTATAGTAGAGCAAAACCTCCTTTCAAAGGAGCGGCCTATGTCTAACAGTGGACTAGTAAAGGTTGTTGATGATGATGAAATCTAAAATGTCATTATTCTATCCAGTAATTTAATTTTAATTTAGGGAAAAGTAAGGGAATTTAAAAACTAAAAGCAGACGTGTGAAATGTCCAAATTAAAGTACTCATAATTAATTTAATTATTCGTCATTTTACATTCATTTAAAAGTTAAGTGATTTTTTCATGAGAACTTAAATAGAGACAGGTGACAGATGATTTTTAACGCCCTCGTTTTAGTGTAATAAAATTATTAAAAAAAAAAGATTCTAAATATAATTTAAGCATAATGTAAACTTAACTCAGATATTATTTATCTATTATACACATTCACTATAATAACCTCGATTCGGCAACTTGCACATTGCTAAGTCTCGTTCTAACTATCGACTTTAAATTACTTTGATTTGAAAATTAGGCGTTCTTTTCTTAGAGACGTGTTAACGTTCTTACAATTATTATAATAATAATATTCTACCACATTCACACAACGCCATCTAGTCTCAAACTAAGCAGAGCTTGTACTATGGGTACTAGATAACTGATATAAATACATATATACTTTTTTTTTTTGTAAATACATACTTATTATACATAGAAACACCCAGACCAAATCAAACATTAAATGTTCATGCACACAAATGTTTGACTTGAGCGGGAATCGAAGCCGCGACCTTTGGAATAGCAGTCCGTTACACAAAATACTACGCCATTCGGTCGTCAACATAATATCTATAGTCAGTTTCATTATTATAGACATATCTCTAGTAAATATTAGCCAGCGTAGCCCAAATATTGCAATTTACAATGTAAGTAATGTAAATAGTAGTTACAGAAATAATTTGTAGTGGACCAGTCCGACCCATTCCGAGTACCGCCAAGTACTGTAGCCGCCCACTTCCTTAACGAGATTTCCAGCATCAGGGAAATCAGGAAACATCGTGTAATTTATATTGTACAGCCGTTTTGCTTATATTAACCAGTTTAATAGTTATGCAAATCATTGATTGCCCTCATTGTAACGATAATCTTTGGAATGCGCTCGAGGTTAAAATCCCCACAACATACCTTAAAAGAGAGATGGTTAAAGCCCAGCCAAATTAAATATCCTTTGAACAACGCGCAAACACACATATCGTATCACATATTGCATTCAGTTGGCCAATTTCATCTGATTTTCCGACCTTTCATTAGACTCTCTCTTACTTTTGAAATCTTTTTTACATTAACTGATTAAGAATCAAGTTGTTATTCCTTCTGCCATGTTTTTGGGAAATCAACCCGATTAGAAATGCGTACCACAGACTGAAACATAAACAGTAAGTTCAGTTGCAATAGGGCAATAAAAACTCTAACATAACTGAAAGGAAACCCTATAATTCTTCCTTCGGTCACGCTGACAAAGTTGCAATTCTAGTTTTATATTTTTTAAAACCTAATGTATAAATTCATCGTAGAATTACGACTCTTATTAAAATAATATTAAGTAGGAAAAAAAATAACCTCTAATATATTTTTTCTTTTTTTTAAATTTAAAACTTCTTGAGGCGCGTTGTGCAGTTTTGAACAACAAACAAAAGAATGTATTTTTTGAGATGGGAAAAAACAATTGAACTCGCGACACTGTTACCGCTACCGACACCTCTGTATATAAATGATAAATTGAGTTTGGGTTGAAATACATTGATAATAAAGAATAACTAACTATATTACTCCCGTATATTAACTAAACAAAGCTTATTTGGGTCTTGAGTTGCAGGTGTTAATAAGAGACGGTAGTCACTTACCATCAGGTGACCCTCCTGCCTCGCCCCCTAAATCATAAGAAAAAGAGACTAGACTGCACGGATGGCGTAGTCGTTAAAGCGATCGCCACGCCGCCCACTGCTACGCTGAGTGGTGTGGGTCCCATCCCCACATGGGACGACACCTTGTTTCATCTGTTCTCTGTGTGAGTCTGGGGGTGCTCTTTGTATAGCGGATCGGGACCGGGCGAGGTTTAGAACGATCCCGGCCCGCCAAGCCCGGCAACGGGCCAGGTACTCGCCAGGTCGCTCGCCTCTAGGGAGCATAGGGAACATGGGGTTCCCACACGGGGGGGGTCGTCTACTCGTCTGTAGATGACCCGAGGTATGTCGGGGTACCAGGGACTTCCTTTCTAGGGTATACCTGGTTCCCCGGCTATTAGTACCCGAGACGGCGTGCGGTTTTAGTCGGTTCGAGTCCGACATGCCACCGACAGGTGGTATCCGAGGGGATTTCCGCACGGAAAAAAAAAAAAAAGGCACCATAGTAGCAGAAGTTTCATGTTATAACTGTGTCCACTTGTTGACAAGCTAAATATCTAACCATGTATTTATAAATTAATAACAATTCATCCATACCAGTCCATACTAATAATGCGAAAGTATGTCTGTCTGTCTGTTACCGCTTCGCGCTTCAATCGCTGAACCGATTTTAATGAAATTTGGTACAGAGATAGTTGGAGTCCCGGGAAAGGACATAGGATAGTTTTTATTCCAGAAATTATCCTTTAAGGCGGTGAAAAGAGGGGTGGAAGTTTATATGAGGAATAAATAACTTAGAGATAGTTTGATTCTTGATAAAGGACATAGGCGATAACTGATATACACGCGGGCGGAACCGCGGGCAAAAGATAGTTTTCGAATAAAGAACGCGTCATTTGTGATATACAATAGGTTGTATACACGTGCTGCTATCTAGTGATAAAATAAGTAACTTGAGATATAAATATGTGTTAACAGTCATCAAACAATAAGCGGTAAATTATAAAATCATCATGCCGATCTAACAATACCATTTCATTTCTTGTTAAGTTATTATGTGTAAACTATTTTATATACAGGTCGTCAGCATTTTCCCGAATTATAAATACCATCGCTATTATAATGGGCATAATAGCTGCTTTAACTAAGAAATGTTTGCTCATGTTTTATACCAATTCTAAATTATATTATTTAGTCATTGTTTATTTATAATTTACTACTACCTTGAAGTTAGACATGTGCTGCCATCTATTACAAATATTTATAACTACAATACGAAACTGAAAAACATTAATACTCATGATTACTTACATTTTTATAAACATAGACTTCTTACATAATACAAAATACAAATAATATTTTTGAGTAGATGTAGCTCAAGTTTCAAGTGTAATAGAGATAGTTAATTTCGAAACCAACCATTAAAATATATTCGATTATATTTTGCACTAACTTCCATTATTAATTTGATACAATCATTTGACATTGATTTAAACTAACATGATCATTTTTATTTGATCTAAGGTAGTATGGTGTGGTGACGGATTAAGAATACAGAGTGCCACCACCCCTGTTCATCCCGTGGGTGTCGTAAGAGGCGACTAAGGGAACAAACTACCCAGAACAACACCACTGCAAAGAGAAGGAAAACTGGACACAAACCCGTCTGGTCAGCGTGGTATAGTAGGCCAAAACCTCCTTTCTAAGGAGAGGCCTAAGTCCAGTAGTGGACTATTTAAGTGTGATGACTACCCGTGTGTTGATTATCTTTCCCTGTTAATAAACGAGCTACTGTTTATTATACTCCGAGCGGGTCAACTGATACAACAGCGTTAGCATTAGTAGACAGCAAGTGGTACGGACACTAAACGCCATATTTTGGCAAAGAATGCCAAAACACCAATTCCAAATACGATTTCTAACGCACTAACCATTATCAAGGGCTGGTGTCGGCATTGAGTATATAGTACTATTAAAATACGGTGTACTGGAAAAAGTAGCAAAGAGTCAATGGCAGACGCGTGATTCTTTGTGGGAGAGCCATGCTTCGACCGGAGAGATACCATGGCCGAGTTTTCACTTCTATATAGTACAATATTAAAAAAAAACTTAAAAAAAATAATAATCTTAACATAAATGAATGTCAGATCCCTGTCAAAGGCCGGGTGGTCGGAAACCGGTCCTGCCACCTAGTAGAGACAATATGCAACTTTAAAACTATGTTGCCAGTCATTTAAAATAGTAAAAAGCCATGGGAAACTATTGAAATAAAATCAATAAATTTGGTATATTTACATTATAACTACAGTGAATAACTCAACAATTGTTTAATAAAATTGTTGATTAATAAACTGGAAGGAAACTGGTGCTTATAACACAGGGTTTCCCTTTCTTAAGCACCAGTCGCTAAATGTGAAGACTATCACTAACTAAATGTCGCCCGATCAATTTATTGTAACTGCTGCAATTGATTTGAATAAAATTTTTATTATTATTGATATATTATTGTATCGAACGCAAGGCAAAATGACACCTTATATGTAAGTTTTTCTCCATTACATATGTTAATCTTACTGTAAATTAATCAAAACAGTTATAAAAAATCAATAAATTTGGTATATTTTTACTTTTTTTACTACAGTGAATAACGCAACAATTGTATCGAACGCAAAGCAAAAAAGTTTTTCTCTATCAAATATGTTAATCTTACAATAAATTAATAAAAACAATAATCAAGTTCAACAACATTGCGCCATGGTACGGATCGAGAGTGCGTAGAACTTCGCCGTCTCCTTCTGCGAGCAAGTTATGCTTGAGAAGGAAATAGCGGTGCGGGACCGGTGCGGGTTTAGAACTTTGTTCGAGCCTGCATGGCCCGGAATGGGAAAGGTACTGCAGACGACTCAGGCATCGGAGGTTGCAGAACGACGTCCAGCCTCCGTAAACGCAGGCCTGGGGGTGACAGGTGAGGCCATCTGTTACCCTAGCAGAAGCAGGCCGGGGTGGCGGACGCAAAAAGGCAACATTGGGGTTCCCACACAGGAGGGGTCAGCTACATGCCCGAGGCCCGATGGCCTGAGGTACGTCGGGGTACCAGGGTTACGGGGTTCCTTTCTAGAGTACACCTGGTTCCCCGGCAACTGGTACCCGAGACGGCATGCGGTTTTTGTTCGATTCGAGTCCAACATAACCATCCCATCGTTGACTGGTATTCGAGGGGATTTCCGCACAGAAAAAAAGGTACCCTGTGTTCTTTATATGCTTATATCTCTACGAATGTAACTTTTGCAGCAAAAAATGTAACTTTTCAGGGCACGAAACATAACTTACGAGGACGACTCAAGGGCCCTGGCAACACTGCAGGAGACTCAGTAGTTTTTTACTCATTCTTGTGGCCTGCTAGACTTTAGTTTGTTTGCTACAAGCACAGATTAGGGGTGATCGATTTTGCAAAAACATCGCTGATGGCATCGATAGCAGATCATCGATACTCGATATTTATTAAGTACAACACATCGATGTTTTTTTTGCAAACACTCATCAATAAATAAAACGACCATAAAATCGCATGATTTTTTTAATTCAATGATTTTTATGTCTTTATTTGTTCATAGGTTCACCTAGAATTGTTACATTTTCCTTAAAAATAATACACAACATTTATAGAAAACATTCGCATTTAAGTGGTCATACAAGATAGATAACATTTGGCATTTGTATTTATTGTGACAATTGGTAGTTTAGAGCAAAAAAAATATACCAAGAAAACGAAAAACAAACAACAAACATTCAAATAAACACAGAGCTAACAAACAGTAATATGTCCTATAATTTATAAAAATTGATAAGTAATAGATTGCTTTATTTAATTTTACTACCAAAACGAATTAGTTATTATAACGTAATATCGAGTCTACTTAGTTTTGGGTGCAGACCGTCGATTTACAAATTTAGCATTCGCGTTGAAGGAATAACTTTGCTACTGGTGACAAAGCTTTCTCCGCATGCCTCTTGAGTTGCGATCTCAGTCAGTTCTTCTATCTATTTGGCGTTTACAATTGGAGGAGCACTCTTATGGCAGTTTACAATTTGGTTAAAAGCTGGTCGCAGTTTTAAAGTAATCAGTTTCAGTTAGGATTGTTCCCGTAGATCATGACTTGCTGCACCACATAAATCAAGTGCCACTAATTTGAACCAGTGGGTTAAAGAAATGACGGACTTTTTTGCCAAACGCTATATCAATAACTTTCACTACATTTGCTCAGCCATCAGTCACTACTGCCAATACTTTATTTGTATCTATCAGTCATTCTTCGCAAGTTAGTAACAGCGACCCTTGCAATGTGTTCAGCGGTGTGTGATTCTGTTCACTCCTAATGTGGCTGCTACCATTGTGTCTTCATAAAAATGATAGATTTCGATTATGTGTGTGTCCCCGACGAAATTTCGATTATGTGCCCGTGACATCGATGTTACGATGGTTTGCTTTTTAACCTCTGTGCTAAAATGTATTTGCTGATTGCGTAAACTAACTTGGAGAATTCTTTTTTTTTTTAATGACTACACTAGGGCCAAAAGTAAAAACTACAGCAGAAAAAAAGCCCCGAGAAGGGGCAATTTGAATTGAGGCCTGGGGAAAAGAAATCATTAAAGTGGAAACACTGATGTACACAGACATATTGTACGTATAAATTGCAAGTAGGTAAATCGGAGAATAGGTGCCTATTCTGTTTATTTTTAATCGATGCTAAATAAAGTGATCTTAAGTATTAGTAAAATTGCAGCTTGTAGGTATACTACACGTAGAAATTTAACTTTTGCACGTCAAACACAAATTATGAAGGTGGGAATTAAATACACTTAGGTTAGGATGCTTTTTATACTATCTGTGTTTCATTGTTTTAATTTTGCTGCCTTACTATTTGTTTTATTAAAAAAAAAAAAACTTGAATCGGTGATTAAAAGTTTGATATAGCCCTCGTTTTAACTTCTTTTTGTAACTTACGCGTGGCATTTACTGGCATTTAGAATATACCGTTGCATATGATGTTGCGAAATATTCTTTCATCGTGACTAATTCATGCAAAATACTAATAAAATCAACATATCTACTAATAAACAACTGTTGAACCCTGCTCTAACCGAAAAACGTGTTTATTTTACATTTCAAGATTGGAACTCACGATGGCGTATTCCACTGTGATGAAGTACTGGCGTGTTTTATGCTCAAGTCTTTACCTGAATACAAAGATGCTGAAATTGTTAGAACTCGGGACTTGAGTAAACTAGAAACCTGTGATATAGTAGTGGATGTTGGAGCTGTTTTTGATCATGAAAAGAAGCGATATGATCACCATCAGAGGGAGTTTACTAATACACTCAGCATGTTGAAACCAGAACTTGGTGACAAGTATAAAATTAAGTAAGCTTTTATTTTTCAAATACTTACTATGTATTACCAGCTGACCTATCAAACATTGTTCTGCCATTATACAAAAATACTAAAAACACTATTTCAGTATCATGGTGTTTGTGGTCTACAAACACCGAGACAGCAGATATTTATATATTAGATTACTATATTACTACTTACTATTAGCCATGTGTGATGTCTATAGTGTAACTCAATAGTCAGTAAAGGCTTGTAACAATGAATTATTTAGTAATTCATGCTTACAAGCAATCAATGCAGGTCAATGCAACTTTCATCAGCTCATAGCCGCACTTATCTGGTTTTCTTACCTACAAATCAACTTATATTTTTCGAGTTATGTTTTAGCTTACTTTTTAACACAATATCCAAGTATCTTTAATTCTCTATGTAATATTGTTAACGTTGAACAAATGAGAGAGATATAAAGGATTTGCTTAGAAAATATTTACATATTTCAATAGTAATAATATAATAATTCATTTATTCCATCAAGTAACCAGGGTTCACTAAAATTATTATAACAGTCTTTAAAAGTGTTAACAATAATTTCAATATTGTATGTGGGTCACTGCTGTGCAATCCCGGCAGAGACATCACAGCAGCGACTCACATACGTACAATCCAGCCTACTCGATCATGCGTAGGATGCTGTTTGTGCTGGCTCGAACCCTGCGCACCAGGGTATGCCAGAGCTGACAACACATACACATACACATATAGTAGTAGTTAGCAATAGTAAGTTAGCATAGTTGGTTCAATTTACTCCATATATTTGTGAATTAAATAAGTCCAATTTTGTATGTTATAAGTAGCTTATATAACATCTAAAACTGTTAGATTTTTCAATAAAAGAGTGACTAACTTGTATGTAACTAATCCTTTATAAGTAGAGTTTATACTTACTGGCAGTATAATAATAATAATACCTTGACACATCTCACATGTGGCTGTCTGATCCCAAACAAGGTTGAGCCTGTTTTATGGTAACCACACTGCTGATAATTATGCTTAAATAGTTACACCTAAACACCAAACAAAAGATCATATGCTCATGACACAAATTTGTCTTGGGTGGAAATCAAACGAACAAAATCTGCTTCCAGTTAGGGCCAAGTGACCGTGACTACTGACTACTAGACTAACAGGCATATCTAAAATATAATAAAATAGTTAATGCTCAAATGTTAAAATCTGTTTGTAGGGATATATTGAAATTGTTGCCCTAAAGTAGTAACAATGTAACACAACACTACAGCTGTAGAGGGATAAGGGAGGGGCTTAAGTTCAAATGAAGATTCATTATATAAATTTATTAAATAAATGTAATTTTTTGCAGATTGAGTTCCGCTGGTTTAATTTACACATATTATGGTGACCAAGTTATTAGGCAATTGGTGCCAAAAGATGCAACTCTTAACAATGTAGACATTGGAATTGTATACAAGAAAGTATATGAACATTTCATACAGGAAATTGATGCCATAGATAATGGTGTACCAATGTTTACAGAAGAACCTCTTTATAAAATACGCACCCACTTAAGTAATCGGGTTGCAAGGTTGAACCCTGATTGGAACACCGAGCAGGAAGTAGACAGTGACCAAATATTCACTCAAGCTATGAAGCTTGTAAGTGAAGAATTCCAATTTAATGTCAACTATTTCGTCTCAGTTTGGCTCCCGGCAAGGAATTATGTAAAATCAGCTCTGGAAAACAGATTCCAGATTCATAAATCGGGGCAAATTGTTGAGTTCAAGGAGAGATTCCCTTGGAAAGAACACCTATTTGATTTGGAAGAAGAAATGAACATTGGCCATGATGTGAAATATGTTTTATTTAAGGATAAACCAAACTCTTGGAGAGTCCAAGCTGTACCAGTTAGTCCCACAAGTTTTGTCACAAGGTAAGTTAATATCTTTTCATCTGTACTAATATTATTGTATGAGTAGATGTATGTATTTGTACTCAATAAGCCCTGAAACTACTGAATCGATTTTAATGATTCTTTTACCATTAGTTAGTTACTTTATTCAAAAGTAACATAGTCTTAATAGTTTATTTTAGTATAAGTTTATAGGTCATAATTTATAATATATATGTTACTAGCTTTTGCCCGCGGCTCCACCCGCGTAAATGTCTCTTATCGAATTCCTAAGAATCAAACTACATATCTCCATACCAAATTTCACCTAAATCGGTTCTCTATTCATTTACCATCAGGTATTCGCTCGTCCGATATACGATAGAAAGAACATAATATATGTATGTGTACTTGTAAAAAGATCCCGCGAATTTTTTGCTGTCCCTACTTTCTGTGAAACACTTTAAAGATCATAAAAAAAAACAACGTTATAATAGCAAGAGTATATTTTACGAGCACAAGTGGTTATAGCTAAAGTTCAAAACATTATTTTACAAAACTGTATTTCTTTTGCTTTCAGGAAACCCTTAAATAAGAAATGGTGGGGTGTCCGGGACAAAGAATTGAGTAATGTAGCTGGTATTGAAGGTTGTATTTTTTGCCACTCTACTGGTTTCATAGGTGGTAACACAACAAGGGAAGGATCTTTAAAAATGGCTATTGCAAGTTTAGAAGCGAATATATAGGCTATAAAATAAATTTACTAATATTGGTATGATAATTGTACTTTTATTATTAGATGTTGGTTTTAGAACAATTTTTTATGGTATACGAGCAAACATATGGCAAACGAGCAGACGGGTCACCTGATGGTAAGCAACTACCGCCGCCCATGGACACCTGCAACTCAAAAGTCACAAGTGTGTATGCATAGTGTCAGCTATTGTACTGAGGAGTTGTATTCTATAGTCACCAGTTCATATTTCTACTAAACCTGGAAAGCTTTAAATAGTATGTATAAATTGTAGGCTAATGGTTTGACATTTAATATGGTTAAATTTAATAAATATTTATAAAAAAACTGTTACAATCACAATTTTTTTGATCTCTAAAGAATCAAAATAATAGAAACTAAAACTGCAATATTTCAAATAAATAAAAATTAAATTTTATTTAAAAATATGAAAAAAAAAACTGTTTAATTAAGTAATGGTTTGGTAATAACAAGAATCTTTTGAAAGAATGAAAAAAATTTTTAGGAAATAATTACAAATAAAATTTTGCTTAAAATTGTGAAGGAAAAACAATACTGTTTAATTTAGTAGTGTTTTGGTAATCATTTTAAAACTTAAAGAAACTTGGAAAATAATAAAAAACGTAAATAAAATAGAAATAAATGAAACGATTTTATTTGTCAAAAATTGGTAATATTCATACTCAATAAAACAAAAGTATAATAAAATATTGGTTTTGTTTGGCGAAATGCTTTGGATTGTTATAGATTCTTTCACATTTATTTTTATTTCAACATTTGCCATAATCTTCGTGTTTCTTCTCGAACCCATGGATTTACCACTTTTATGTCTGTCACTGTAAAAGCCATTGGTTTCACTAATTTCACTATAATTGTACTTTATATGGAACTTCAGAAGCAATATCAAATATTAGTCTTTGTTTTTAAGAAGACTTCTGACAGAATATTGTCTCTTCAATCGCTTACAACATGTAGACAGGACATTCTAATGGTTTTTTTTAACCTGTAACATATAAATTGATTGATTGATTTGTGTGTTTTGCCGCTTTGTTTCACAATTTCCTGATTTGTATAAACAAGTGTTGTTTAAATATTAAAAGATACTTATTACAATTATTTCGATTCAGTTGTCTTTTGGCTTTAAGAGCCCAAGTTATGTCAATAGGTCATTAACTTCCATTTCTCTAAGAGTTGAAAGGCAGTGGATTATTTTCTTGAAGTTTGACTTCTTCTGGTGAAGTTCATCTGTTCCTTTTGGCTTTTGTTCTTTGAAGTTTGTTATTTATAAATGTATTTGTTATCGCTGAAAACAATATCAGTAGTAAAAAAAATCTAAACAGTTATCTTTTTAAAAGATCGTCTTTCTCTGAGACATAAGATAGCACCAATAAATATTTTTCTTTTGTGTTCAACTCTTTCAAACTTACTGTGTAATAAAATGACAAATAAATTCATAAATTAAAAAAAACAGCTAAACACTTGGTAACATTTAATTTTACTACAAAAAATGCAAATGTAAATTTACACATAACGACATAACCAGTTAATAAAAGCTTGGCCTTTTGTAACATAAAAAAATGGATTCTATTAAAAAAAAACAAAAAATATGCTGAAAAAGTAAAAAAGTCGTATCTCTTTTAAAACCGTAACTTGCCGTTAACTAACGGTGAACTATAGAGAGTATTCGTGAAAATAAAATAAAAAAAGTATGATACCAACTGACTGGTGACATGTTGTTGTTTATTGGTCATTAAAGTATTAATTCTGGCTGACACTTGCATTTACATGGTAAGTTACTATTAGGTATTAATATATTATAGCTTTTCAAATTAAAACATAAATTTAAACCACTTAAATTTCAAAACTATAAACAACTGTGGTTTATAGTTTAAAAACGGTTTAATTAACCACATGTTTTTAGTCTTAAAATATCACAATTACAGTCCATTTGGGTAACTTCCAACACTATTCTCAGATTGGCAAGGATACTTAGAAAAATAATATACCTATTGATTGCACTTTTTTACAGTGTAAACTGTTCTTTTATACACAACATTTTCATTATCAAACCAATATAAATGTTTAATACATATAAATCACATTGAAATTGCAATTTTTATAAGTCATCCAAATCGTCCCTGGTGTATGTGTCCTTTTCAAAATCAAAGGCCTACAGAGTTAAAAATATATATATATATATTATCCTTTTCTTGGCCCGTTGGGATTGTGTCCATTTTGAGAAAACTTCTTTTGGCCATATATGATCGACCCATGTCCATCTATTTGTGTTAAGCATTCTCCCTCGTGTCTGTCCATAGCAGGGGTGTCCAACATAATATTATGGAGGTCCAAGTTTCAATGTCATATTGTAACTAAAATCTAATAACTAGAAAAGTGAGCTATTATTTATTTTAATTCTTTGTGCACAAGTATGAGTTGTACAATGGCGGACTTAATGCTACAGGCATTTTCTCCCAGTCTACCTTAGGGTGGTGGTTAAATGTGTGACTAGATGCAATAGACAATGATATATAAATAAAAGAAAATTATTGACAAGTTAGACAGAAACAATGCGATAAATATACATACGTACCAAATACATACACATACATAAATACTTACCTAGTTACATACATACATAAACCTACATATTAATAATATATAAAACTTTAAGGTTGTAATGAATCTGCTAGGGTGTCTAGAATGCGAGCTCGAACTTTCATCTTGAACGAGAGGCGGCTGGGTCCTGATTTCTAGAGGGAGAGCGTTCCAGAGGAGTACGGATTGGATTAGGAAAGAGGAGTGGACACAAGCGGAAGTATGAGTGGGGCACAGCAGAGCATTGAATTTGATTGAGAGATTGATTTTCTGTTTGACCACACCTGGTTCAATCGGAAAAAACTCAAAAGCTTCAATATTGGGACGAGGTTGATCTGATAGAACTGTATCGTCCGACATTTGATTTGGCGATCAAACTGCGATGATGAGGTGAAATGGCGGTTAATATCATCCAAATCAAAGGTCGAAGGTATTTTAGGTTTTTCAGATTTGCCGATATCTAAGGTCCCCAGGAACCTCCAGATACTTGAAGCAGTTTTGCAATTAAGGTTGTTAAGAATATGGCTGCGTTTAGCATTACGCCCCATCTGGTTACACAGATTTCTCGCAACTCTATAAACAACTCAGTTTTCGCCGCAGCCGAAATTTCCGATAACCCTGGGCGATTCGATTTCCCAAGGGCTTTATACTTATCTGGCGGCAGCGGACGTGGCCTAGAGTAGATAGACGGTCCCGAGGTTTCTATTCGATGTGTGACGTCATGTTTTTGCTGTATTTTCGACTGACATTGGACGCAGGATATCAGGATACTGTTTAAGTAGGTATATCGTGATAAGCGTGGTCACGGTTAATTAGGTAGACGGATTCTTCGCTGCTACATACTTGAAATGCCTTAATGCTGAGCTCGGTGACGATCTATTAATTTCTTGTTGTGTAAGTCCACCAATAATTTATATTTTGTTAGGAAATCTGCACCTAGTATAGAAGTTTTCACGCCAGCGATCGTAAATGTCCATTTAAAACTTCTAAGTAGGCTTAATTTGAGCTCTAGTGTACGCTCGCCGTAGTTACGTATCTCTGTGCCGTTCGCAGCGTATAACTTGCAATCGTTCTCTGTAGGTTTCAAAAATCTTGATTTCTTTACAGCTAGTACGGATATGTCGGCTCCTGTGTCGACCAGAAACTTTTCTTTATTGTTACTATCTATAATACATAGGCGGTGGGTTTTCTGGGTAACACCGACGCCCGCCACGGTCGGTGTCTTCGTTAGTTTCCCTGGTTATTACCCGTATCATTCAGTATTCTTTTTGAGCACGGTGATTCGCATTTACGCGCGTAGTCCCCGTAGCGATAGTGGTAATGGCACAACCATTCTGCATCGTCAGGTCGGCGACGCGAGTGTGAACGTATACGTGAATTTGTTCGACTTTCTTTCGACGCTCTTGAGTGACTTTAAAAGCGTGAGCGGTGCGGCGGACGATAAGGCTATTTCTAGTGACATTTTCTCGATTTGTTTTGTGAGTAGGTTTACTTGCAGGTCTTGTACTTCATTATTACTGTTTCTGTTATTTTCGCACGATGGCACAGTGGTTGTAGTGGTAATAGCGGCAGCCGGTGCGGGTTCGAAATGCTCTATCATTTTGTCGGCCATTGTCGCTAGGACTTCTAGTGAGGACTCATTGTTTATGGCTATCACGCCGCGTATCGTTGTAGGTAATTGATTCAGCCATATTACCTGTAACGCTTCATCTGTGAGTAGCTTCCCGCTAAGTTCACGCATTTTTCTTAACAATTTTTTGAATCGCCTAGTTCTACCCCGCTGAGTAGTTTCTGTAACTGGCGATGGTCTGACTCTTGGTACATGGATGCCAATCTATTTTTTAATGTAGGGTGGGATGGTAGCCATTGAACCACCAAAAGTTTGAAAAGTTCTAGCACAGTTACTCTTGCAGTTTTAGAATAAAAATGTTTCGCTACACTTGGGTTATTTAATGATCTAACATATTGGATACCAAATTTTCGGTATTATTTGATAATTTCTTAGTAATACCGATTTTTTAAAAAAAAGGTAATTGGTTCATAGTGTACACCGTAGGGTACACAATAAATCGGGGGGGTGGGACTTAATGAACCATGTGGTACACAATGACTCACAGGAATAACTACATTGATTGTTTCTTTGAAGTTTAATAAATAAAACAGTTTTAAGTTTTGATATTTATTATGTTTTAAACGTTAGAAAAATAACCTACCTAATCAGGATAAATTTTTAAATGTTAAATCACAATTATAGGTACGCAGGCCTATACTAAATAGGAACAATAATTATTATCACCTCGATCGTCATCCGTCATGACATTTTCCACAAAACAATAACAAAAAAGTTAATAGAAACAAAACAATCTTCTAATCAACAATCCTTCAGTTAGGATGTATCTACCTAACTAATATCTTAAATTCAGTAACGACATATCGACAGGAAATTTGTAAGTGGCTTGTCGACGTGCCGTACCCTGTGTAATGGGAGGTGGTAAAATATATGTAATATCTTTTCTATTCACACCTGCTGTGTCAGGTTCTAGAGGTAGCGAAAATGTCTGTGTAACCTTATTTTTTAACTTGAAATACGATACATAATAATCGCATTCTTCTCCCTCCAATTCCTCCAAAATTTGTGCTATGTAATAAACTTTAGATTTTTTGTAGTAAATGAAATAATTACGTAGTCTTCAACGCGAGGCTTCCTTAACAATGGAGGGAAGTTGTCGCATAAAAGGACTTCTTCCTCTTCTGATTCATCGAGAAAATTTTCTCCGCCAGAAGATGAGTCGCTGGAAATAAATTCATCTTCTTCGTCTGATGAAGTGTCTGATTTTACTCTCTTATGGCTACTTTCAAATAAAGTCACTAACTACGTTAGCTCTTTTCCGGGTTTTATTTTGTTTTGAGTTTTTATTTTCAGCTAAAGCGTTCTTTTCGGGTGTATCAGTAGCTATCATGCTCTTACCTGCTTTTCTCTTGAACCTATTCTTGCGAGGTTCTGCCTTCAAAGGTGGCCTGAAAATCTTCGGTGAAATAAAATTACTTGGAATGCCAAACACTTCAGGAGAGTTTGTTTTTTTAGTAGGGGATACGTCTTCATTATCAACCACTGAAGGCGATGGCTGGCGGACATATGAAGTAGATGGTACCGGTGTGCTATAGTGATATTCTTCAATAATATTCTCAATATCTGCGTCAGTTTCATCATTGTCACCGTAAAAAGCAGGCGTCAATATAGATGGTGAACCACAACGTTCATTAATATCGGGTTCTTGAAAATCTACCTCAGCATCTGTTTCATTTTTTGGTGCTGGTCTATTAGTAACTTCACTGGGTAAAAAATCTATGTCTGTAAATATTTTATCATCAAAGGGGAATATACCGCATTTTTTAAATGCTTGAGTAATATTTACCGGAGTCATGGCCCTCATATACGCTATACCTACGCATTCGGCAACATTGTAAATGCTTAAAGTTTTACCTGGATTACATAGTAACCATGAGTCTATCGCGGCATTATAATACGACTTGAATGGGCCATTTAGTCCAACATCCAGAGGTTGCATCCTGGCCGTGGTATGAGGATGAAGTGTAAGCACAGTCACTCCTGAGGCTTTTGCTACATCTAGTGCTTCTATAGACAAGTGGCTTTCATGGTTATCAAGAATGAGCAAAGCCGGATTGTCTTTTGATGCTGAAGTATACTAAAACAAATAGAAATACAATAATGTTATCTATTCCACACGTAGAATCAAATTTAGACACAAAAATCTACCTATATCAAACAATCGTCAAAATACCTGGATAAAATGTTTCATTACTTCAACAAATAATTGCACATTCATCCAACCACTAGGTGAGGCTAGACCGAGGGTCCCGGGAGGTGCCCCGTACAGCATATGAGTCTTAAAATTTTTTCTTGGAAATATCATAGCTGGAGGTAGGGCCTGACCAATCGCATTCACTATACAGCAAGTCGTAACCAAGATCCCTCGTTCTCCACTTGTAACTTTACAGACATTGCTGCCTTTAACTGCTAGCACTTTTTGAGGATGTTGCACAGTAGTGGTAGAAGTTTCATCAAGATTGTATACTCGAGATCCATTGGCAAAAGATGGAGTGCGATTATAAACCTCTTTAAGGTTGTCAAAAAATTTTTGCACATTATGTTTGTTAAAAGCGGTAGCTCTTGCTATACTACAAGCTTCGGGTTTTTTTATTGATAGTTCCGGATGTCTTGCCCTAAAACCCCTCATCCAATCCCTACCTGCCATTTCATGAGTTTGCCATGAAGGTGGCATATCAATTTTGTTAATTGCTGCCATTTGGTAAGCAATTCTGCGGCTGTCTTTAGACGTTAATCCATAGAATTTATTTGCACAATCCAATATGTATTCCTTAATACTGTCTTCTTGTTGATCAGTAAAAACTTTACTTGCGTTATAATGAGGTTCCAATCTAGTTGACGGATCCTTCACGTATTTTAATATATATCTACGTAGTGTTGGATAGGGAATGTTAGAAGCTTCAGCTGATTTCCGGATACTCAGCCCTGTATTTAAGTGCAGTTCGATGCCTTTTTGCATGGCTTCGGGAGGGATTGCTCCTTTTTTACGACGTTCCCCTCCAAGTGTGTTTCGACCCATGCTAAAAAAATTATTAATATTAGTAATATCTAAATACCTATTATCCCGCAATAATAAATTGTACCTATTAAATAAAATATAATTATATTATAAAAGTAATGTTATGCCAGCTATAGTAGTACACATTAAACCATGGTTCATTGCGTGCCCAGAGTTATTGGTTATCTGCGTACCCCTCCCCCTTTAGAAAACGTTACGTAATGCTGTTGCCAATAAGCGCATAGAAGCGATTCAAAAAATATACTCAAATAAGCACAATAACCCATGTAGTGCATAGAACACACTCATAGTTTAGTAAAAGTTATAATAACAAAGTAATTACAAAAAGAAACTTACGTTTTTTTCGTCGTTTTTACTAAACGAAACACAAAAATGCGACACGCGCGTCCATTTATGGTGGCAAACGGCCGGTGACTAGCGTATTCTACACGGCGCGGGGAGGAAGTCCAGACACGTTTATTGCACGGACTGGCAACGTCGCGTATTGTCGCAACCTGTACTGGCTCATACGGTACACTTGTTTCATTGGCTACCATCCCACCCTACTGTATTTTCCGGTAGCGGTTGGATCCAGTATAATTTCGCCGATTTGTTCGATTTCATCGCAGCCGAGGAGTGGAACGACTAGACTGAATTTTTGTTAGTCCCCGATCTTGCTGGCAGCGACGGCGGCTTCAAATTGTGCGAACCATAGGCTCGGGTTTTTTCGCCAGAATGGTGGTAGACGTGCAGGCACTGAGATAGCGGCTACGTCGCTCTTGACTACTTCCCTGGGCATCGCTGAACTTCATGTTTTCTTAACTTGTCATGGTTATATGTCTTCACGCGAACCGTTGTAGTAAAGGGTATCCCAAGAAGAACGCAATTTTTAAATTTTAAATAAAACAGATATGTAAAAAAAAAATCGTGAAACTTTATTATATCGTAAAGTAGACAGAATGAGGTTATGTATGGAACAATATATCGTGCAGATGGCCGCCGCGGCTTTGCTGGCATGCACGCGATCTTTTAATGAAATTTTCAATGACCGTTTTGCATGAATGCTGCGGTATTTCATTAATGCAGCGTCCAATTTCCTCTTTTAAGGCTTGAGTCGTCGTCGGCTTATTCGCGTAAACCATCGACTTCAAAAAACCCCAAAGAAAAAAATCTAATGGTGTTAAATCGCACGATCTAGCCGGCCAATTTTGATCTCCAAAACGCGAAATAACACGACCGGGAAATGACTGATGCAGCAATTGAATTGTTTCTATGGCTGTATGACATGTGGCGCCGTCTTGTTGGAACCACATGCCCTCCACATTCATTTCTTCAATTCTAGGCAAGAAAAAACTGGTTATCATTTCACGATACCGAACACCATTGACTGTTTGCGCTTGACCTGCCTCATTTTCATAAAAAAAAAGGTCCAATGATTCCTCCAGCCCAAAAACCACACCACACAGTGACACGTTGTGTGTGCTTCTCGTGAATCACTCGAGGATTTTCCTCACCCCAAATGCGACAATTCTGCCTATTGACGAAGCCATCAAGATGAAAATAGGCCTCGTCACTGAAGATGATTTTATCGGCAAAACCAGCATTTTCATGTTGTCTCTCCAATACCCAATTAACGAACTCCCTTCGCTGTCCATGGTCAGCTGGCTTCAGTTCCTGAGTCAATTGAACTTTGTATGCATGAAGATGCAAATCTTTCGTCAAAATTCGCTGCAAAGTGGATTTGGAGACACCAATTTGCTGAGCTCGGTGTCGAATTGAGGTGGATGGAGTTTGAGCGACATCATCACGTACAGCTGCGACATTTTCGGTCGAACGACCTGGTCGATGGCGCGTTGTTGTCTTTACATCGCTAACAGACCCAGTTTCGGCAAATTTATTCATTAATCTCTTTACAGTTGAACCTTTTGGAGCATTATTGCGACCCCAAATTGATCGCAATTTGCGAACTGTAGCCGCAAAACTTTCACTATTTTGGTAAAACAATTTCACAATGAGAATGCGTTGTTCATTCGTGTAGCGCTCCATTTTTACTAACCTCGTACCTTCTACTAGCAAACAATAACAATTGTTCAAATGTCAAACAATGACACTTCGAATGTTGCCAGATTTAAAAATTGCGTTCTTCTTGGGACACCCGTTAGTTATGTATGTTGCCGCAAATACGTGTATGTTTTACGTTCGGGTCACCAATTTAAGGGCTTTTTGGACTGGGGTTACTGTAGCGAGAGGGAAACCAGCGCCAGCCGGACGTCCCTGTATGGACTCCAGTATGCGGCAGCTATGCCGCATCGCACTATCGCAGTCTCCACAGTCCTCACTGAACCCTCGGTGACCGAAGTCCAACGAGGAGTTTCACTGTATGAAAACAGAAGCTTGGCTGCAGTCGCGGCAAAGACCCGCAAATAAATGTCATCGCGCGGTATGTCGTCTAGATAGATACTGAATAGTATACTCCCAGGGCATAACAGTGAAGCCATATAGAATCCGATAGTGGCGTCCATAGTAGGTCTCTCGTTAGCCCGAGAACGTGTTAATCACAGTCACTTTGGACGTGGACTGACCTGAATTTATCATCATTTGTGATGGGGAGAGAGGGGTAACGCTTAGTTTTGGCATTTGCATTTCTATCACTAACTCAGAGCAATAATGTATTGGTAAAGGTACGTGGTCGAAGAGTGCATTCAGATTGAAAGGATTGGCGACAACATTTAGTAGATCGTTTGGATGTAGTTACGGATTGCTATCTGGCTTTCCGTCGGACATTGACGCTTCATGCTCGATTAGTACAGCTCGGAGGGGACGCATCTCCTCGCCTGATATTTGAAAAGCTGAAGAACGTAGTCCTGAGAGGTCTATCCCCTCAGCCATGAAGCGATCAGAATAATTGGGTTTACGTGAGCGTCTAGTCACACAGTACGGCTGTACAACCGCACATACATTTTCTCCTGGAAGTTCACCGGCGCACATTTCTTCTAATGGTATGCCTAATTCCGAAGGATCGTTGGACATAACGCCATTAATGGGATGAGATGAAGGTTAGCGCTTTCTGCATGTGCACGTGCAACTCATCGACTGAAGCGAAGGTTCCCTCTAATAAAGGTCTGCGAACCACTAAGGCCTGCGCTCTCTCTCCAGGCTTTACCACGTCATACCTACCGGTAAACCTGGTACGCATGTTGAATTCCCACGGTCGTGGACCATAACCTGCGGCATTAAGTTTATCGAGAGTAGAAGTGACATTTCGTCTTCTTTCTCGAAGTTCGCTTATGAATGTCAAGATACTCAATATCGAACTCTGTTCAACCTTGGATGTTAATGAGGTCTCTGCTTTTTCAGTCTCCTCTTTCGTCATTTCGTTTGATACCTCAGTAATCATCTTGTTAAATTCCGGGGAACAGCTCTAATCGCGTTTTCAATGGCGCTATGCTTCAAGAAAAAATCGTTGACTCCCGGGTAGTGTGATGTGAGAAAACTTAAGATTATTTTGTTTCATGCAGGTTTGTAGTCCTGTGTCATTCTCTTGTTCTAATGCTAATTTATTATAGTCAATTGTGTTGTTGAGTATCTCTATTTCAGATACGCGTGATAACGCGTCGGCTGCTTCGTTCCGCTCCCCGTGAATATACTTGATATTTGAACAGAATTGGCTTATGTAGTGTAGCTGTCGCTCTCGTCTCGGCGTATCACTGCTATTTGGCGTTCTTGTAAGCGCATAGATAAGGGGTTAGTGATCCGTGCACATTGTGAGATCGTTACCTTCGATTAGCCGGCGTAAACTCTCTTGACAGTGGTGTACATTGGCAGTAGTTCGCGATCGTACACGCTGTATCTTCGCTGTGTGTCACTCAGTTTTCGAATAAAAGGCTAATGGTTTCCATACGTTGTTAACCTTTTGTTGTAGTACCGCGCCGAGGCTTGTGTCTGACAATTTAAGGTTTCAATTCGATCGCCAGGTTTAAGACTTCTGGCGATTTACTATCCTTAATGTTTGAGTGTACTACTTTCCCTAATGACTCGGCCAGCTGGCTGATAGGTACTAGGGGTACATACAAACCAACTTATCTGTGAACTGAAAGAGGACGCACCGTCGATTCAGTGTTGCTAATTAATATATAAAAACAAAAATAAGAATTAAAAACAAAACAAATTAAAAATTATGATACCTCTATAAAAATAATAAAATAAATAAAAAGAATTTGATAATTTACAGTTGCGTAGGTACGCTAACAGTTTAGTATCTCAGCAATAAACAACGGCTTTATCTAAAAAGTAATCCAATGAAGTGGCAATTCAGCAGATAAAATGTTCCACGGGGGAGATACAACTTTCATTTAATGCGAAGTTAAGTAGGTACCTACCCTGCAAGAGGTACCTGGATGTCTAGCATTTAGTTATGACCGTAACTAACCCCTTTTTAATTTTAATTATAATTAGCAGTGGTACCTAGTGGTAGTGTAGTGTAATAAAAAAAAACAAATTGCTTTATAATAATTTATTGAAAACCATACACAACTTCATCCTGGTTGTGAGGCCATACTCCGCTTATTTCCGTACCACTATCATCATTATCACTATCGCTTTCGGTTTCAGTGTCACTTACAACTTCTATAATAAAAGGTTTATCTAAATACAAATCATGTTTTAAGTATTCTCCTTCTAACCTGCGAACGTGTTTACAATGCTGTGCCCACTCATGAACTGTAATAGCGTCAAAAGCTTCTCTAACTAGGCAGGGAATTTCAGCATTTTTGTGCTCAATATTTACATCAGCAACTTTTCTTTTCATTGTGCTCCATATGAGTTCAATGGGATTGAGATCACAGTGATAAAGTGGTAAATATAAGCATTTATGTCTATTGTCTTCTAAAATTTTTTCAATCTCATATTCTCAGGTTCTCATCTCAGTTCCTAATTCATTCATAAAACTCTCCAAATACAATGGATCGTTAGTCAAGGGTGAGGTGGTCTTCGATAGATGTTTGGGTCCAGGGACAGGTGGCAAATCAGCCACTTAAGGGGCCGCAGGTGCAGCAGCCTGCTGAGGGCGTGGTCCTCCCCTATTATTATTACTTCCTCTAAAGTTACCACGTGCTGGCGCTTCCAGATTAGGTTGGGGCTGACGGTTAAATCTACCCATTCCCCACTGCGATCCGCCTCTTCCACCGTGGAAATCAGGACGATATTGATATTGATTATAGTTATCATAGTTATTTCCATAATAGTTAGCCATTATAATAATTGCCTCTCCGTGGTCTTACAAATTACTAGCGATATACGCGAGTGCGAACGAAGTTTACATAAGTAAAAGGGTGGTGACGGATTAAGAATACAGAGTGTCACCACCCCTATTCATCCCGTGGGTGTCGTAAGAGCCGACTACGGGAAAAAACTACGCATAACAACATCACTGCAGAGAGAAGAAAAACTTGACACAAACCCTATACCAACCCGTATGGCCAGCGAGGTATAGTAGGTCAAAACCTCCTTTCTATGGAGAGGCCTATGTCCAGCAGTGGTCTGGTAAAGGCTGTTGATGTGATGTGATGATGATACAGGTTCAGGCTTGTTTCCCTTAATTATTTCTAAAAGCTGAGGTTTAGTCAAATTTTATTTTGGGTCAACCATAATTGCATATCTTTTTTTAAAGAATTCGTATTTCGGACTTTATTCACACAAATACGGTGATAAGGAGCATTATTAATCACTATTATGGATGGCTCTCGTAAATTAGGCACAAGTTTTTCAATAACCCACTTTTTAAAGTTGGTACTATTCATCTCGTCATGATAATCACCACTTTTTGTGTTTGATTTAAACACAAGTAGTGCATTTGTAACAAATCCAATATCTCCTCCCGCATGAACAATAATATATCTTTGCCCTTTCGATACAGGCTCCAATACTCCGTCTTCACCGTTTCCTTGCCAACATTTACCCGATGTGTGCGAAGAGTGAATATAGGTCTCATCTAAATAAATTATGGGCCGGGGCTGGGGAGATTTATTATTTTTATCCACTGCATGCAAGTACTTAGCTCTCCAAGCTGATATTTCATTACGCTCCATAAGAACCTTTCGATTGGATTGAGATTTTTTAAAACGAAATCCCAACTTGTGAAGCAGCTTTCGCAGACTCTCTCGCTGTCCTGTGTAATTTATTTCTGTCTTTAAGACCTCTAGAAGCTTTTTAACAGTAGGGACCTCTTTTTTGGTAGAATGAAATTCATGTACTTTCCTCCGTATAACTCCCATGTTAAAATCATCAACTTGCACAAATCCACTTTTACGTTTTCTCTCTTTGCCTGGTGTCCGAATTTTTGTACCAGTTTCTTCTGCTGCATGCTCTTCCTTAACTATTTTTGAAATTAGTCCTTGACTCACACCTGAAGTATAAGATAACAAAATAATTGTTAGTAGACATTTGAAATCTGGCAGGTTAGTTGGCTCACTCACTTAGCGGGTTACCTAATAGATGTACGTTACCGTTACGCTAACCCGCAGCAAGAATAATAATTAGTTAAGTATCGGGTAATTTATAACAAAAAAGTTGACAACACTAACCTGTCGCTGCCAAAATTCGTTTGTATATTTGATTAAATGGAATAATCGGAGACCCCGCCCGAGCTTCTTCGAGCATCACTTTTAATAGCTTTCGGCATATTTAACTTTATAAATTCAGCAATACCACGACAAAACAACCAGAGAACCCGAATGTAGTAAACACTGACAATCGAATGACATTTCAACATGACGGCCGTAGTTCCAATTTTCGCCATTTCACAGTTAAGTTGGTAGGACTATAAGGTAATAACGACCGGCTAAGCCGAAGATCAGCTCTTGAACCGTAGTGCTATCGCCCAGGGAGAGGAATGAAACGCCTTGGTTAGTTCCAAGAGAGGTTGAATACTTTTTTTTTTGTGTGATGTATAATACACGGTGTTAGGTCTTAAGATGGGTAATTATAAAGTCCCAAAACTTTGTTATAATTACCTGTTTGCCGCAGTATGAACTTGATCTGATCTTCCAGTGATTTCTCAGGGTATAGCTTCCGGACTTGGGATAATCCCTCCTTTGTCAGTCCGTGGTCCCCATATTTTAAAACGACCTTTGGAAGTCCTGGGAACTTCGGGACAAGTTGGACTCCAATGACTAACTCTTCAACAATGTCCGGTGGAGGATGGGTATCCGTCTGCGAGAGACTGAGGATGTAGGCATATCTATAGTTGAAGGTCGTGACTCAGAAGAAGCCGAATCCTATGGTTGTTAGCCTCGGATGGCCTCGACATCCTTGCCCAAACAAACATCCAAACATCCTTATCTGTGGGTCTTCTCCAAGGGATACAAGCGGAGTTGTCTCCTATGAAACAGAACCGCCTGGCTCTTCTCAGGGTTGACCTCTATTCTCCATTTCTGAAACCACGCGCCTAGGGCGTTTGGCAGCGGTCTGGAGTTTCCTGGCTACTGATGAAGGGTCTATTCCTGAACAATAGATAGCTGTGTCGTCTGCGAAAATTGCTGTCTGCACAAGCCGATGCTTCGGAATGTCGCTGGTGAACAGCGTGAATAGGATAGGGGAGAGCACGGACCCTTGCGGGACGACAGCTCGGATGGGGTACGAGTCTGTGGGGCACTCCCATAGTGTATAGCTTTTAAATTAAGCCGTTGTGCCACACTTTGTCGAAGGCTTTCGCTACATCGAAGAATAGGACTCCTGTGAAAAGGTTTCGTTGGAGCCGCTCGCTGGTGATCTCAACGATGCGGTGGACTTGTTGGACACACGAGTGCTTGGTTCGAAAACCAAATTGCTCGTGCGGAATGAGGAGGTTTTCATCGGCGTGTGCTTTCAGCCTTCTATAAATTATGCGCTCGTAGATTTTACCTAAACCTTTAAGCAGACTTATCGGTCTATAACTAGCCGGCTCGGACTTTGGTTTGCCGGGTTTTGGTATCCCATTAACCACGGCTTCTTTCCATTGTTGGGGAAAAATATTGTTTGTGAGCGCTGCGTTAAAAATTAATGTCAGAAGGACCAAAAGCCTGTCGGGAAAGAGTTTAATGACCCTGTTTGTGATACCGTCCGAGCCCGGTGCTTTACGACTGTGAAGGCCCTTAACGATCGTTTTCACCTCGTCGGGGGAGACTGGTTTGAGGTCTTGCTCGTCTGTTGTGGGTGGTAACGGGCGTGAGGCTCTGCGTTCCACTTCTGTGTCTTTCTACTGTGAGGTTAGGGTTTGAGTGAATTGCGCTGGGTGTACACTGAAGCTCCAAGCTGTCGGCCAGACACTCCGATTTTTCGATATCATCGAAGGCGGGCAAGAGGTTGGGCCTCTTTAATAGTGGTGACTACGTCTTTCTTTAATGCTCGGGATAGCTGCCAGAAGGCGAAGTGAGTCGGTTCTAGGTCTTTTAAGGTTGAGTCCCATCGGGATTGACGCATTTCGCTCATGCGTGTTTTAACTGCCCTCTCTAGAGTGCGTAGTCTCATTCTCAGTCCTCGCATGGATAGCAGCGTTCTTCTGTCTCAACAGTTCACGTACGTCGTCGGGTAGGTTCCATCGATGATCGTTCGTCGCTGGTACCTCCCGAGTGCAATCGTTGGTTAACGATTGAACGTGTTCTGTGAGTCGATCGCCACTGTAACGTCCTCGGGGCTAGTGATGTTGTCGGGGATTTTGTCTAGATGTACAGACGAGATCGACTCGAGTTTCGTCCCAAGCCGTTTCCAGTCTGTAATCCGCCTATTAGGGGTGTGGCCTGTGTCTATGGGGCCTAGTCTAGGTTTGAATTCTATGACTACAGGTCTATGATCTGATGTTAGTTCGTGGTGTACCTCTATAGAACATAAGCGTAGGTTTGTGTTCTTTAGAAGTGCCACGTCCAAGATGTCTGGTCTGTGCGACATGTTAATCGGGAAGTGAGTTGGCTCTAATGGAGTTATGATATCGAAGTTTAAAGTTCTTGATAGCGACTCCAGGATTCTGCCTCTGCTGCTAGTTATGTGGCAGTTCCACAAGGTGTTTTTAGCGTTAAGGTCGCCAGCTATGATGACTGAGTTGCTCAGATCTAACAGTGCCCTGAGGTCGCTCTCAAGTAGTTGTCTTGGCCTATTAGCAGTGGAGGTAGGTGACAGGTAGGCTGACACTAAGGTGATGGGTTGGTGTCCAGTCATGCCCAGTCGGCAGACCGAAGCCTCAATGTACGTCAGCGCGGGTTTCTCTGAGATGGTTTAAGGAAGGTCTCTTGCACCAACAAGATGTCGAGTTGGTGTGCCCTAAGGAATTCACCTATCTCGTCTTTTTGTTTCGCAATGCCGTTGGCGTTGAAAAACCCTAGCTTGAGTGAACGTGGTTTGACTCTGCCTGTGGGTGTGTTATCCATTATGGGTTAACTTTGAATGTTCCTAGCTTCTCGAGCACGCTCGAGTATCTTATACTGACATTTAGGAGGGCCAATGGATTACCCTCGTTTTGTTTGATAAGGTTGGCTAACTGGCGTAGTTCGCTAAAATCAATGACGTTAGCGAATCGTGCTACAAGGGCTAGATCTGGATCTAATCCTTGTGGAGTGGGGTTTCTGGGTGGTTTGGGTTGGGTCGGGGGAGGTTTAGGGTGCTCCACAGTTGGTTTGGTGGACTCGCTAGCGTATGTTGAATTACATAAGCCCATTTTGCATTACCTGTTATACCGGGAGCCGGTATGGTCAACAGACAGCCCATTTTTGAGATAGACTTTTACTGTAACTGGATTTTCTCCGTATCTAGTAGGAATCAAGTCAATTCAAGTTAAAAATCTCATTGTAAATTGAATAATCTTTATTCACTTTCAACCATTTCTATATAAATACTCAATTATAGCTAACATAGAACTTTCAACATAGGGTACTATGATATTTAGATAAGTTTCGGTTATAATTTTAATTACAACAATATTTGAAAGTTTATAAAATATTTTATTTACAACTTATCACATTAGGTATAAAATACAACTCAAACTTCAAGTGCCACCATACATATTTTTTACACAACACATGTTCTTAATATAGTCACAAACAACTGCCACTTAACAAGTCCTCAAAAGTGGGTATCATATTTCAACCTAATTTTAAATGACTTATGCCGATATGGACTAAGATGCTTTGTTTATTAGAAACTTAAGCTTATAAACTATGTATTACAAAAGTATCGCAGCACTGTATTACATATATATTATCTTGAGTAGGAGTTAAACAAAAATAACTCAAAAATTTGGGTCAAATTTTACATACATTTAAAAACATAGTTTTGGAAAAAATATTGCAACTAACGGAACTTTTAGACATTTTCTAATATTTAGATAGATTAAAGCATCAAAACAAATCAACAGAACAATACAGTTCTAAGAAATATTTCAAGATGGAAGTTGATAAAAGTAGTAAAAAATGGTTCATTTTGGTACCTGAGAGGTTAAAAAAGTATGGATACGACTTTTCGTATAACATATTTTCAAGGTATGGTTCTCACGAGTATAGTGTTTGTTTTTTTACTAACGTACATTCAAAACATTTTTATCTAATTGGGGTATATGAGCTTTGCACTTTAATATGTTACACATTGCATAGGTCAAAAAAGTGGATTCCGGTCACATTCCGGTAACGTAACGGTCAGTATTTTTGAAAAACGCCCATATACCAAAATACTAACCAGAGAGCTGCCAACAGAATGATTTCAACGCTAAATCTAACGTTTTTTGATAAATTTACCACTGCATTTGAGTAGTTGATATTTACACATTTAGTATAAGTACTTTTATAAATTTTTGCTAGTTCAAAAAATGAATATTGCAGTCATAGCTAATGATAAGATCAAATATAGTCCCTGATTTCGTGGGATATTGCTTGTTGAATACAAGGGTTAGCAGCACTGATATTTCTTGTAGATTAAAAGGGTTGGCAGCTCTCTCAAATAATGATGACTGTAATCCAAACGAATGACGCAACCGACGGAACTACAATTATATATTTTACCCAAAATATTGATAATAATAATAAATATAGATAGATAGATAGTCAAATATGAACGCAGTCTAGTTCATATAAAAATATATTTATTTTGACAGTACACGTGTGCTCAGCATGAGCTTGTTTGATTCAAGAACATTTTTAGTTAAGGAACATTGGCTTATATACTAATAATTGGGTGCATGTGTGCATGGTGTACAGTACCTCACACATGCGCTTATTCAGCGAATGACATTAGTCTAATGGTTTCAGACATACTTAGGGATCAAGTCTTAATTGATTTGGTCATCATTAATTTTATGTGAATTAACCATTGAAAACATGAGATGATGAATTCTCAGTAATTATTGGGTGGCATGATGTCCCTTAGTTTATTGTAATGGTACGAGGTAAGGGTTGGCTATGTATAACTAGATAGATATTTTTAATGAAAATAAAACCTACGTAAATAAAGAAATAAATACGTAAAAATATTACTTACAAATACATAAATATACATATACTGCCTTAATTGTCTTACTGTTTCACGATTTGGACAAATATACTTACCTTCCTAATTCCCACTGAACTGGCGACATAAAGCGTTTCAGACTCCTGTGTGTTCCTGAGTAGCTGTGCGTATAGGTATACTGTTTGTGTGATGTGTTACTGTTAAGTGTGATGTGGCTCAAAGCAGGTGAACACGCACAGTGGAACATTGCACTGCCTGCAATATGCAGTTGTACGTTTTTTGCATACAACGCAAAATCTGCGCTGGCGTTCGTGTTGTTTTCCGGCCAGGAAGTCATACTGAGCCGGAAAATGTCCCACTGGTCGAGCTGTACCTGCTGAGGGTGAAAGTGGCTTGTGTTTTGCGACCAATTCCCTTACCAAAGTTTCACGGAACTTTCGGTGGGTAAGAGGTCGCTGTGTGCGGAGGAGTATGAACGCATTCAGGACACTAACATTTAACAGACGTCTGAAAAACTTTTTGTACCACACCCGATTCCGCCGCCTTTCTATTGGGTACATGGCAATCATTTGATCTTTGCGCGTGCTTTGCTTGAAGTGGCTTGTGTTTTGCGACCAATTCCCTTACCAAAGTTTCACGGAACCTTCGGTGGGTAAGAGGTCGCTGTGTGCGGAGGAGTATGAACGCATTCAGGACACTAACATTTAACAGACGTCTGAAAAACTTTTTGTACCACACCCGATTCCGCTGCCTTTCTATTGGGTACATGGCAATCATTTGATCTTTGCGATCAACACCACCCATGCACATATTGTAATCGGGTACTATTGAGGGCTTTAGTACGTCGCCACACTTCACCGTTGCTAACCCATGGTACGTCGAGATAAGAGAAACGAGGTTCTTATCTCGCCATACCACCAGATCCACATCGCCTGAAGTGCAGCCACAAACTTGGCCTACAGCCAAAGCTCCCTTGGTCAGATTAGTCAGTTCAGTGGGAACAAACTGACGGTTCAAGCGAAGAGTGCCAACACAGTCAAATCCCCGTATCTTTAACTCTCGCGCAAGCGCAGGAGAGTTATAAAAGTTATCCATCCAAACCGTGTGGCCCTTGTGCTCAAGACCATTGAGAAGTTTAAGCACAAGTACCGGCACAACCCCAGACAAAGGACTATCTTGTGGAGATTCGTCATGCCCTACGTGCACTTCAAACCGCCACAAATAGCCAGACTGGGACTCACAAACCTCGTAGGTTATGATTCCGACTGTGGCTGCTTTATTTCGGATGAATTGATTAATATCTAACCAACCCTTCCACTGTGTCAGACTTTCGTCTAATGTAATATTTTGTGATAAAATATATAACTGTTGGAACCGCTGGTTAAGATGATCTGTAATAGGACGCACCTTAAAAAGCTTTGCCTCCGATCGCGTCATTGTGTGTGCGTTGCAGTCATCATTATTACAGAAGTGGAGACATTTAGAAAGCAAGAAGTAACGGTCAAAGCTCATCGTTGCTGAAAACCCAGGAGAAGATAATAAATCCTGGGCTGTATTCCAGTATGAGTCTGCACGTGATTTCACAATAATCCCAGTCGCTAGGAGTACACGTACAGCTCATATGGATTCGTATCCCGCCATCGCGTGATACGACTGGTGGGCAAAAGTAGCCCCTGATGAATCATGGCCGTTACCTCTTGCTGAGCATATCTATTTGTCTCCATTGAAATGTGCTCCATTATTTGGCGATCCCATATAGCAGTAAATGCCTCATATGGGCTCGCCAATGGAACTGTGGGACCACAATTAATTTCGGAGAATGGTTCCTTTCTCAATTCAGGAGGAATTTGAGATTCTGAAAACCCTCTCCGCTTAAAATCAAACTTATTGTATGGCTCGGCGCTGGCTTCGGGGTCGGCACTGGGTTCAGGCTCGGCGTTGGGTTCGGGCTCGGGCTGGGCGCTAGGTTGGGGCTGCAGGCCGGAGGGAAGTTGAGGTGGCCACTCAAAGCCTATAGCAGCGTTATCGGTGGCACCTTAGTGTCTTCCTCAGACATAAAAAGTCTTTCAGCTCTCCTCGGCAGATGCACTGGCTGAACTAAATCTTCATCTTCATCATCGCTGTCAGCATCCTCTTCACTGCCTGTGTAAATAATAATAAAATACTGTAGTCTGTTTTACCTATGTAAACAGATATATACTTCTAAAAGATAGGTCTGAAAGAAAAATATTCACTTACCATGATTCAAGATTCGGGCAATTTTCTCGTCCCTCAAAGGAGGAGCCCTGACGGCTGATGATGAAGATGAAGCCCCGTCTGGAGGAATCCTTAGAAAATATGAACATCAGTACCAGTATCGTAATAACTAAAAATATAATTTTGCTCATTTTTGAACTTACAAGCACCGCCTCGAAGCCGGAACCTCCTGGCCCTTTCCAGTAGAGTCATTATTTCTATAACAACAAAAAGATGTAAATATTTTTTCTTGTTTCATAAAATAATACTTTAGAAACTAATAAAATAAAATGAAAACTTACGCGGGTCTCTTTACAGTGGTAATTCGGGGAGTTGACTGCCCGCTCCCACCACATTCAACATACCTGCAAATATAAGTATTCGATGTTAATTGTTACGGTTGATAACTAATTGCATTTGAAAATTTAAAAAATAACAGTATACTTACAGAGCCGGAGACGGTGGAGCCGAGCACATCGGAGACTCTTGACTCGTGGAGGGGGAGGGGAGCACCATTTCTTGTATGGACGACCATAAGGATTGGTATCTACAAAAAAAGTGTTAATTTTATTACCATACTCGTATACCAGAATAATGAAACACTTGCCCTGCGCACCACCTTGACCCCCGCGCGTAGTCGCTCCACTTCCACGTCGTCCCCGAGATCGTCGTTGTCTTTTTATATTAAAAAAGCAGAAAAAATTAAAGCTCATCCAAACACCGAAAAAAGAAACAATGCAAAAGAAAATAATGCAAAAAATAAAAAAAGTGCAAACATATTATTTTCTTAAAGCTTCTTTAAAAATAGCTCATTACAAAAACCAAAAGAAAAACCGATAATGAAAAAAATTGCAAAAATAAAAAGTAAATTCAAATTTTAATGCATACAAAAACATTCCTGAGGCATATCCATACTTAGGAAGCATCCCAGAAACACAAAAAACATGGCTGCCCATAAATGTCAAACGTATGCTGTTGACGTAACCGGCTCCCGGGATGAGACTATGTACTCCCATTTTCATTACATATTTTCATGTTTTTGAAAGAAATATAATGCTACCTATGAAATATATCAAAACTAATTATTTTTACGTCTTAGATCTAACATCAACTTGCCTTTTCATCCATTTTTGGTTGAAATATGACGACAATAAAATCGTCCTCACGTGTTCGACATTGAACATGCTGATAGTTACAGACCGATTTTTAGTGAAAATTAACAGAACTATTATATAATTTGTATACATAATCAATAATTACTTACCCTTCCATCGTTTTTTCTAATATTCAGCGAATCACTTCAAGATAAAACACAAGTTTTCACCAACACAAAAAATAAGTAGTCACCTAGGCGATGGCGGAGTTTTGACTGACCTTGTTTACATTTTTTTCACTAAAGCTGCGCGAGATTTTGGCTTCACTAGTCAGCCTGTTTCTTCTTTATGCATTTGTAACGTGTTAGAAAGAATATTTTATATACAATGACGTGCTTTAGAGCGATTATGAGAACACACTTACCCATACCGGCTCCCGGTATGTCAACAGTTCCGGCGAAAATGTGTTTATACCGGGAGCCGGTGTTTCAACATAGGAGTCCGACCTGGCCGCTGTGGCAGTGAAGGGAAGGCCTTCTCCTTAATTAAGGGGGAGGCCCATGGATTGATGAGGGGGGGAGGGGCTGGGCGGAAGGCAGAAGAAGGAACAGAGGTTTCTGTCGGGCGAGGAGGCTGAGGGCCTTTTGCCTTTGGAGGTTTAAGCGCGCGCGGACACCCGCGATAGTTCGCCGGGTGGCCTGTTGCGCCGCAAAGGACAAACGCTACCGGCTCGGTGCATTGGGCCCTGTCTTTGGGCCTTTTGCACTCCGCTGTCGCGTGATCTTCCAGGCACTTGACGCACCTGGGGCGCGCAAAGCAATTCGTGGCGGAATGGCCATATAGTTGGCAGCGGTGGCACTGACATAGACCACCTCTACGGTGAGGTGGTTCTATCGTAATCCCGGAAAGCCCGCAGAGGGATGACATTTTAAAGATGCATTTCCCCGCGGGGGTGTCATCTAGCGACACGATTATCATGTCGTAGACGAGGTGGGTGCGGCCTTTAACCATCCGGTGGACTTCGTGCACCGGATAATTTTGGCGGAGGAGGGAGTCTTTAATCTCCGAGGGGGAGAGCTCCTTGGGGACGTTACGGATGACTACACGCAGTAGTCTATCCTCTGGGAGTGTGTAGGTGTGAAAGGATACTTCCCTTTCACGGAGGAGCCTTGATAGGGCTATGTGGTCACTAGAGGTGGCCACTGACACTTTTATGCCCTGTTGGGTACTGCGGGCGGAGTGGTACGTGATGCGACGTTCGTTGCACCACGTAGAAATGCTGGTCCATTTGGACTTGTCCTGGACGTAAATTGGGGGAGGGGTGGGCTCCTTGCGAGCTGAAGTTTCAGTCTCTGTTGGGGCGGGGGATGGTGCCTTCGGCCTTGCAGGGGCGGGAGGGGTGAGGGAAGTCGGTCGGTCTGTCCTCGTCAGTTTTGGGGGCCTTGTTTGGGCCCTCCTTGTTTTTGCGACTACGTTTTCGCGAAGAGACAACTGTGTAGTCTGAACTACACGAGCTGTCCGATTGAGAGCCTTCGCTTGCGGACTCTTCGCTACTTGATGCTGTTGTGTCCATCGCGTTCGATGGACAGGCAACCCTATCACTTTCACTGTCGGGCGAGGCGGGGATTTTATCGCCATAGCGACGTTTTAAGAAAGCGTAGACCTCCTTATCTCTAAGGAGGTCTTCTAAATTTAGGGCCTTAAGGGCCATTTTTTATTAACGATTTGAAAAATATTTTTAAGAACACTGGTCCCCGGGTGGATCGGCCCGGGGGTGAGTGGTTTGTTCCCTCCCAACCGGGATAGGTTGGGAGGATGTACTTAAGGTGGGGTGAGCCCTAAGCTTGTATCCCTTCGCCGATCTTATTGTGCGAAGGGTTTCTAACAGTTCAGGTACAGGGGTGGTATGGGCCTAGGTAGGCCGGCACACCCAAACTTGTACAGGAGCATTGGAGTAGTAGGAGAGGGTAGGGGTGGGAGGGTGATGACTAGGCTCGACTAGGAGGTCCCCCAAGGCCGTGTGATCTAGCCCCAGCCGACAGCCCAGGCGGGTCGGGTCACCGCCCACTCGGTTTCGTTGATACCGTAAGGTTTCCACCGAGGACCAAACTATGGTTTTTCCCTGAAGGGGTGACTCAGAAACAAACGCCTCGAATAGGGCTTCGTATAAACAACAGTCGTATTTATAAATACGACGTTATCTACACGGGCCAAACCGAAGCGCTGTGAGCCGTTTAACAACTTTCGTGCTCTAAAAAGAACACTAATTGTTATTAAGCGGCCACGATTTACGCTACACCTGCGCTCGGACGGGTGACGTCACACGAAGCGAACAACACCCGTACCGGTCGAAGGTGACGTAAGCGAATGAGCAGCAGCGGCGGGTGCGGCGAGGTGCGGCGTGGCGTGGTGAGGACGGGTCGGCGCGGATAGAGACGTCCGCTCGGGGCGTCTGCAGGCAGCCGAATGATGACGACTGTGTTTAATCACTCGAGTCTTCACACCGTCCCGCAGGGGACGCGTGGTGGCTGGATCGGGGCTGTAGCCCCCTGCCAGCGGTGTCTACCGCTACCCCTAAATAGGGGTAGGTCGTGGGGTTTCGGTGTTGGTGTACTTGTTTTCTGCAAAATCGCTGGTAGAAGTGAAGCCGTTCTCTTCGTACTGACGTCTCATTGTTTCTCTTTGCTCGCTGGACAGTGCAGGCGGCCGACCACTTCGCCTATAATCTTGAAGATTACCTTCTTCCCCTTCACGTCTTATCCAAAAACGTGTCGTATATCGCGATATGTTCAGTTCTCTAGAAATATCACTTATGTTGTATCCTAACCGATGTAATGATTGACGCTTGAAAGGCAATCGTATCTAAGCGACATTGAGTAAATTTTACAGGAGAGTGATTTAAAGTTCAAATTATTTTTTTAAAAAATCATAAAAAATCTCCATATTGTTCGATTTAAATTCTGTTAACACTTGTAGAAAGATCTTTTTAATAGCTATTCAAGTTATTAGTATAAGAACCCTGGCCCTTTTAAAAGCACTGGTTTGTGTCGGTTATATAAAAATGACCTGATTTCATTACCAGATAAAATTATCTAAATCAACACTACAGTGTGTGCAGCAACAAGTAAAAATAGGTAAACTTACATATTTAAGATTTTTTTAATAGGATAATTGATCTAAAAGGTCGTGATAGCTTAAATTAAATCAAGTAAATTTTACTAAGCATTATTTTAATGCTTTTTGTGAATGAGGTAATGTTATCTTAACTAACATAACTACCCCAAACCACGCTTCGTAACTGACATTAACCAACAGCTGTATTTTATGGTGATCATTATCATGCATGAAAATAAATGAAATCAATTAGGTATTTATGAATGAATAAGTCTTTATTATTTTATTCATCAAATTCACCAATCGCCAACAATCAACAATCAGATTAAAAACGATACAATAATTAACGTACTATCGATCTTAAAAAAATAGTAAAAAAAAACGAATTATGACATAACGTTGTCTATTCTGAGATCAATAATTACTTTTTACTTGAGTATCATATTTATCAGTCACTATTTAAAAAGATAACTCACAATATTATCCACAAATGAATTATAATAGCACGTAAATTATAACATAACATTGTCTTTTCTCAGATCAATAATTATTTTTTTACTTGAGTATCATAATATCGACGGTTAACGGCCAAAAAGGGATAACCGCCATTCTACAAACTTTACAGGAGAGAGGTTTAAAGTTTAAAAAAATTCATAGAAAAAAAAATTGGGTCCACAGGCTTAAATTTATAACTAAATAGCTTTTGAAAGGTTCTCCATAAACTGGCATAATTAATTTTGTTGAATTCCATCTCGAAGTATCATTTACGGTCGCTTACCCTGAAATGACCCAGATTTTACAAACAGCAAAAACGTTCCAAGTGAATATAACATGGGATTCACTTCCAGCCTAAACGATGCAAATGCATTTCAGTATTTTTTAAAAACAAGAAGAAAGGGCATATTGTAATATTTCTTGTTTATCAGGCGGGGCCAATATAGCTTGAGTGGTTATTGGTTAGTAACAGATAGAGAAGTATTGTAATAAGTGAAGAATTGTAATAAGTGATGAAATCTCATAATAATTGTTCAGCAGTTAAAGATTACTGATGATTTTTGCACTATTACTGAGGATTATAATAAAAACAAGGTGCTTTGAGACAAATAAACTTGTAATATTAATAAGTAATAATAAGTATTAAAAATTATAAATCTAATACAATCATAAAAAAAGTTTTTAACAATCCTTGTACAACATTTTTGTTCTAAGCTACAAATAGTAACTGCTTAGGCTTATGAATCAGTCTGGGCAACTTAATGAAGTACACTTAATTATTATTAATAATAATAATAGTATTTATTTATTTATGTAATAATTCAATCATACATTAATTGAGATCAAAAAGTATTAAAATAATCATGACTACCCACGATAAGGTCTTGCCTAATGTGAGGACCACATTAGGCAAGCCTGTATCGTCCCTGACATTGGCAGGTATTTACTTTAATAGATAACTTAGCTAAAACGTACGTACTAAAAACAATAAATGCAAAACATTTACTCAGAACAAAAAAATACAAAAAAAATATTTAAGGCATTAGACATAACTTATTATAAATAATATAAAAACCAAGTACCTATTTAATTAATATCATCATCTTCGACATCTGATTCAGGGAGTGTATCTCGAATGCTACTAGCACTTTTAAGGCTCTTATACTCCCCTTGAAATATTTGTGGGATCACATTATCGGTACAGAGTTTCAGTAAGTCATCAAGTTTTATTTTCGAAATGGGTAACTGAGATTTATAACAAGCTGGGACATTACCTATGGACTTTGATTGTACTACGATTTGATGTGACTTAGCGTTTTCGTTCATGGAAGTTTTGTAATTAATTAAACAGTCGTTCTTTTTAAATTTTACTATGCGCATTTTGCTGATTATGCCAGTGAGATTTCCCTTGAAATATTTTTCACTGATTGAATCCCATTTGTAAAAATCATTGAATTGCAGTGAGTCGACAATGTAAGGTTCTGGATTTTGTCTCGCTGTAGTAAAGACTGTAAACCACTGAGAAGGTGCGTGAATGGTAGTTTTTTTTTAATTTTTCTCAATAACGGCATGGACGGAGTCTACTGGCATGTAAGTATGCCCTGTTAGCAAGAAGTTTATTTGGATTACATTGATATTATTGCACGTTTGCAAAGTTGCGTGTAACATTGCCATGATTATCCGGTTTCTATCTTGACCGGGACAACAATCACAGTATAGTAATAAATTCTTTACTGTACCACGTTTATCTACAATTTTAATGTACTTATTGAGTATTGTTGCAATTTCGTTGGCACCTCGTTTACCGTTACTTTCGTCCCAATAAAAACAAAATACTTTTCGCGTGCCATTTTCATAAATACATAGATTATATAAAGCTAGTTTACGACTATAAAATAATAACATGCTCTCTCCGTACGGAGTATTTAAAACTTTTTGTAGATCGAAACTAACATATAGGGTGGCAGGATCGTTTTTATCTGATGTGCTTTAAATCTCTTATAACTATCTTCTTTTTCTCTTTCGTGTTCTTTAATTTCTTTTTGCATACTTGCATTGTCTTTATTTTGTTCGTATTTAAGGCACTTTAGGCATTTATCCTTCTTAGGAACGTGAAACCCGATATTAAATTTTTCATTAAATATAGTCCGAAATATACGTTCACTTACAATATCAATTCCTCTCTGTATATAACTATTTTTATACATTTCATACAAATATGATATATTTTTTATGCAGCTAGGCAAGTAAACACGGGTAGAGTCCTTACGGCAATAGTGTGAGGGAACAGCTGGGAGATCCTTGATGTAATTATGCACTAACACTATTGTACTTTCTTTAGTTTTGTTATGTAGTTCGCGTTTACCGCGATTATCTTCTTACGTACAGTATATTGAATAAATTTCAGACCAACATCCAAAGTGGCTGCTAAAAACTGAAGACACACGAATCGCTTCCCCTAACCTTCTGTTATTGCATACTTGTAACTGTATGAGCGTTTCTCAGAATTACTTCTCTTCCGTTTTATAACTGACCTCTGAGTCATTGATACCAACCAGTCTTTGCGCCGTACGGTTGACAGGGTCCAAAAATATTCAAAAGTACATTTTCGTCGCTCATCTGTGACCATTTCACAACCATTGCCACACTTCTTGCCTGTACAAGGGTTAGGTTTAATTTCTTTAGCAGGGACTTCAATGCCATTTCTTTTCACGTATGCTTGACCAGATTGCCTTAGAGTTCTTTGTACTTTCTTTTGATTTATACGTCGTTTTTTTACTGCATTATCTCCTACCTTATTGATTTCATGTTCTAGCTCTACGTTGTTTTTGTTAGATTTTTTCCGCTTTTTCTTATTAGTCATACCTGAGCCTACTTCAGAATCATCTGATTCTGAAGTTGGTTCATAAACATCTGAATCTGCTTCTCGTTCTCCGAAAATGGTTGTAAAGTCTTCTTCGTCGGATAAATAATCAAAATATTGTTTTTTCATTGTATGACGCTTTTTACATGGTGGTGGGTTACTATCTATATTAGAAACAGGCACTAAGGTAACGCTAAAGCTGGTAGAGGGCAAAGGTTCTATATTGATGTTATTTGTTGAAGACAAAGGTTCTGTCTCGATACAACTAGTTGAAGGCAAAGGTTTCATATCGATGTAGACGGTTGAAGAAAAAGTTTCAGTCTCGACAGAACCAGTTGAAGGCAAAGGTACTGGAACGATATAACCGGTAGATGGCATAGGTTCTGTCTCCATATAATTGGTAGAAAGCGAAGGTTCTATCTCGATATAACTAGTTGAAGGTAACGACAATTTTGATGTAGATTTTATAGATAGTGGTACATTTATAATTTCATCGCTAATTATTTTTATTTTCTCGGTAAATTGTTTTTCAGGCTTTGGTGAAACAGCTACGTTTACAGAGATAATATTGCTGATGTCATCATTTTTATCTCCAAGTAAATAATTTTTTGATTGATTTAAATTTAAATCATCTAAGTTAGATGATGAAGTAGGTTCAGAGTTTTCATTAACATCAAAATCTTTGACATCATTTGAGACTTAAGAAAATGAATTCTGTTTGTACCTATTTATGTCCTCGTCTGGTTGAACATCAAAATTGATTTTTCTTCGATTTTTCTGAAGCTTTATTTGTTGTGAATTGCGTAATGCCTGCCCGATAATATCACATGCTCATTGTTTCTGAGCCATATCTTCTCCTAAAATATAAAAAAACAAGTATTAGCATTAGTATAGCAAGCATTAAAAAGAGTTTTAGGTAAGTAACTAGAACAAATAATGTTATCGGTACCGACCTGAAACATTGTTTTTCTGGATAGGTTAGTAGGTAGGTAGGTAGGTCGGTCGAGAGGCAGGTCGATAGGTAGGTAGGTAGGCAAGCAGACAGGCAGGTAGATAGATAGGTAGGTGGGTTGAAAGGCAGGTAGGTAATTAGAAAACTTACCGTTTACGAAACTGCTCGCTAAAAACACTCGCACGCACGCGTGGCGGTTGGGCAACGTATCACAGAACACTGAATGATCGCACGGACTGGCAACGTGTTTAGTGGGGATAACTATTATAGTGTAACCGAGAGCTTTGTGTTTGCGCGCACAAGATAAGTGCCAAATATTCGAAAACCTATTGGCGTAAGTGGCTATTAAAATTTTATTATATTTATCTAACCGACAGACATGGGTATTTTTTTGGGAGGGAATATTAAGATAAGCGCTTTTCAGAATGTTTGTAATGATTTAGTAAAATAGTACTAACCGCCACAACAATAATGGAAAATATGTGTTTTTTTGGATTAATGAACTTTTTTGCAAAAAATATTTCTAGCTAAATTCGGTCAACGAACAAATGAGTCGATTAGTATCAAAATTGGTTAAATCCGTTTAAGACAAATTAGCACCACAGTCAAGATTACGATTTTACTAAATGGCAACATCATAGAGGGCTAAAAATTTAATTACTTATGTAATTAAGGTTTTTAAAAATATTAAAATAAAAACAAACTAACGTCTTAAACACAAAAATACCGAAATCACGTTTTAAAAATTGGATTCAATTAAGTTTGATAGTGAAGTGTGGATTTGACTAAGTTTGATAGAGTAGTCTATGGATTTGACTGTCTATGAATGTTACCTGTGTGGATTTGGCTTATTTTATAAATGACGTAATTGGAAGACAGAGGTTGTAAACTTTTGTCATGAAATTCAAAGACGAAGTAAAACGTGCCATAAAATAAATCAAAGAAAATATTTATTTTTATTAAAGGTAATTAGGTAGGTACACATTTTAGAAATATAGAAATTATGAATGAAATAAAGAAATATAATTTTGGTAGGTATTAAATAATCAAATTGGGCAATTCTTCCTCCATCTCACATCTTTCATTTGAATAAGAAATACTGTTATCACTAATTGACCTTTGAATTACATTTTTATAGTACTCTAGATCTGGCAAAAGTTCCCACTGGTCTCCGTAATGAGCTTTCAAAAGTTTAATAACATCGTCCAGTTTTTCTTTCTTAACCGCCACATTCATCTGTTTGTTTTTAGGATTTATTAGACTAACGGTTTTATTCTTCTTGCAAATATTTTTGTAGGTGCCCAAAGCATTATGATAAGATTCTTCTGCCCTTACTAATACATTTAGCTTCTGTTTGTTTCTTTTAATGAAAAACCGCTTACATTGCTTAATAGAAAAATGCATGGCGTTCGTTCCTTTTAATATTTCAGTACTTGCCTCTTTCCAATCCTGAACTATAATTTCTGAACCCAGTTTCAGAACGGTCCCATGCTCGTTGAATATTTTGTAGTAATCTTGCGGATTAGTTATAACCTCGTTCTTTTTAATATTTTTTTCTATTTGTGCAAATACACGGTCTGGTGGTAGGAACGAGTGACCCACCACTGGAAACAGTAATTCCACACTCTTTATACGTTCTGGAGCATAATCCTTAAGATACTTACAAAGCATTCCCAAAACTGAAGTATTTTTGTTTTGGCCACTGCAACCGTCGGCCACTAGTCGAATTGTGGTTACATTTTCATATTTTTCAATATTAGAGCATAGACAGTGGAAAACCGCACTAGCGATTTCATTTGAGGCTTTTGGTAAAATATCTTCGGTCCATGTGTAAATGAAAACATTGTCACTGCTCAATTTGCTTTTGGAACTGCCTATTACAATCGTGAAATTATAAACATAAAGCTGTCGCGAATAATAAGCGCTCTGGTCAGGCACTTTAGGCATCGGCTGATTTTTTTGACAGTCGAAACTTAATATGAGTAACTCTTCTTTTTCTTCCTTCAGTAAATTGTAAAAAGCCTTCGCTCTTAAATTATGCACTCTTTTAGAAATCATAAGATCTTTTCTTCTTGTTAATGTCTGTTTCATGTTTAATTTGTTCATTAAATGATAAGCAGGTGGAGCACACGTCTGTTGCCGGAGTGCCAAAGCCAATATTAAATGAAATATTGAAAAATCGCCGGAAATAAGATGCCTTAACACTTTTGAACTGTTCTTCAGCTTGTGCGATGTACATTTTATGTAACTTATTTATATTTAAATTTGAAGATATTGTCGGCTTTTTATTTTACTGCGGCAGTAATGAATTTCAAGCGGGACTAATTTTTTTATAAATTCTTTAATCGATTTTCTTACATTTGCGTACTTCTTCTCTTTACGATTTCCTCCTCTATTTTCAGATGCTGATGCCCCATTATTTTTAACGTTCCGCATAATTACACCATTTACTCTTCCTTTTTTAAGTCCTAATATGGTTAGAAATGTTTGTTTGCATATTGGTACCAAGGAGTTTCTGCGTCGTCCGTAGTATGTAATATTGAAATTTTTCTTATTACCTGTGCCTGATTTGGGACCTCGGCGCTGAATTGGAGATGTTTTAATGTGTTGAAGGATAAAATTGTCTTGATCTATTTTCTTTGTTGATTTATAAAAAGCATTGTTAAATTTAACTATGTCGTTTTTTGCTAATGAAGTACATCTATAGGCTTTAGAAAAATGTTGACACGGAATTCTGATGTCTGGTGGTGCTTTAGGCGAGTATCTGCAAAAACAAGTCCAGAATGAGTATAAATAGGGAGACAAACAAAAAGTTATATGAAATATAAATATACTTGTTCCAGTATTATATCACAGAAAACATGTATAAATGTTACTTTATTATAAACAGTAGGTTATTTCAGATGATATTAGATATTTTACAGTGATATTCTCGTTAAAATCTGTCCAGCTTCTTAAATAAGATGATATATGAATTAATATGTCAAGAATTAAGCTACACCTATTGTTTTGGCCAAAAAAGTTCTTCTTGGTCACAAAAGTTGAGGATCCCTGATAATACAAAAGCAATATTGTATAGTGTATGTTTACATACCTAGAAATCTTCTTTCTGTTGCATTCCCATGAAGATTTTTGTACCAAAGGCTTCCTTGACAATTGGGGAGGTGTTTCAACGATTTGGTTTAGGTTTCCTTCCATTTTTATTAATAATTTCACATAAAACGCACGGAGTACAAGCGGCCAGCGTCAAGAACAAAATAACACTAAAAACAACATGGCCGACTCGCCATAGAGAATACTCGATGCTGATTGGCCGAAATGGATTTGACTATATTTGAAAGTTAGTGATGACGGATTGGGCTGATTTTGATACCAAAGCCGTATTTTAAACGGGATTTCCTTATGATTGAAGTGGATTTGGCTTTTTCTGAATATTACAATTCGTACTTCGCGTGAAGACGAATATTTTCCCATTTTTAGTTTAAAATCGATAAATATTGGATCTGACCAATTTTGATACTAATCGACTCAAATATCAATATTTTAATGAAAGCCTAAAGAGCATAATGGTCAATTGCGAAAATATAATATATGACCAACTACCATTGTAAAAAAAAACATCAATAAACCTGTCGTTTAGGACTTAAAATTTAATTAATTTTTTCAATTTTTCAATTGCCTAACCTCCAAAAAGTTTGTCCCAGGACCATGAAACTGGTACCAATCAACGCAGAAAAATCTGCTGATTCCAAATATGTATATAACTCATTTCAGCTAAAAGTGTCGCTTATCCCTTTTTGGCCGTTAACCGTCGATATAAACCACATGTATTACAATTTCATTGGGTGGGTAAAATCTACTAACTGGTTTCAAAGGAAAATTTCATAACAAGTAAATATACGTAAATACAAATAAATAAAAAGTTAATACAGGTATAACCGACTAAGTTCATTATCCTCATTATTAGAATGTCGTAAGTGCTGAATAATAATAATAATAGGAGAGGGCGCTAGTTGCCATGTTAACATCGGCTCCTAATTAAAAATTATATTAAAATACTTAGTCAGTGAGATATGGTGCGTAAATGTTAAATATCAGTCACTTAACATTCAAAAATCACCGTCTATTGTTAGTGAGCATATATATACAGTGCAAAAACAAAAACAAGTGAAAAATAATTTTGTCAATAAAAACAGTGTAACAGACTAAACAGTGAATTTAAAAGCTTAAAAGCTGAAAACATATAAAATAGCATAGCAGAAACATCTCACGAAACCACAGAAGCTTTTACAGTGGAAATACTAAACAAACTCTCTAAAACTAATTAACGCGTAAGAGTGAAAAAAAAAGTCTGTTATCTTATTTGAATTTCTACCACAGAAATCACAAAAATTCATGCAAACAGAGCCATCTATGACATAGATGCGGAACTACTACACTCCATCCTTAACAAATAAACCACCAGCACAACTGCGTAAATAATACCTATTTACGCCACTAGAGGGATCTGCAATTACCAATATTCATCAACAAAACCTAGTACGACAAATATTTATCATCCACTATGCCTCAATGCGAAGGATGTAAATGTAATACTGGTAATTCAGAGTTCTTAAAATGCGCCTACTGCAATAAATATTACGATCTGCAATGCGCAAACATCCCTAAATACCACTTTAATAATACTATGTCAAATGAGCAAAAAAATATATGGAAATGCCAAGCTTGCATATGCAATATGCCAAAGGGAGACAACTCTAACACCCCAATAAAACCATACATACAACAACACATCTGCGATGATTCTATGAACGTTACAATAAGGCGAAGACCCACTCAGATTACACAAAACTACAAAAATGAAAATTATCAAACTTTAGACGACATAATTGGGAATACAATGAACCTAACTTCGGACAGTATTGTATTAGCTCCAAACGGCCCCGAATCCTAAAAAACTGAAAATTTAATGCTAGAAAAATTCAGCAAACTTTTAGATTCCAAACTCGAAAAAATGAAAATATCTCTTCTCGAAGATGTTAAAATTACGATTCAGACAGAAATGGAAACTGCTTTATTAAAACTTCGAAACCAAGTAGAAAATACCACGACAACCCTAATAATAGAACAAGATAAAATAAAAGAAAAAATTTACTCAATTGACAAAAACATAGAACATATCGAACACCAATTACACCTTTTAAAAAATTCAAGAAAAATAGTACTTTATGGGCTGCCTGAACCGCACCACGAAACGGAACACACCCTTATAGACCGCATCTCTAGAGCCTTTCATGACATAATGAATGTTAACATTGATCCATACATAGAAGAGATAAGGCGTATTGGAAAGCGAGGAGGCCATAGACCCTTAGCTATAGAATTAACAAATAAGAGAATAACAAGATACGTGATGGAAAACTCTAACTGTTTTCGGAACTCAGGACTGGCTGTTGAGATGTTCATGGATAGAAAAACATTAATGAATCGCAACGAACTCCGGGAAAACCTGAAAATAGCTAGACAAAATGGTAACCATGCTATAATTAAAAATAACAAACTGTATATAAATGGTAAAGAGTACAAAAAAAGTTCCCCACAAACCACAGAAACGTCCCAGTCCCAGATACCAAATACCGAAAACAATAACTGCAGAACGAGTTTAGATAGCAACAACACTACAACCAACAAAATACAAACACCATCGCAGCCACAGCCAGCAGCGCCAATGTCAACACAAGGGAAAACCACTCGTAACTATAATTTTCGATACTGAACTAAATGTTATCTTTCAGAATATACAAAGTATAGGCAATAAACTTCATCTAGTCGAGCACTTCCTACAAGACTTAAACATAGATATATTGCTATTGTCAGAAGTATGGAAAAATAAGAACTATTGTGATATGATTTCGTTGTCTGGATACAGAATGGCTTCCACCTTTTGTCGTAAAACGAATGAAGGGGGAGGTGTTTGTGCAATTATTAAGGATAGTTAAGAATATCTTGAGTGTCAAGATATAAACAATTATACTATAGAATTTATAATAGAATTTAGTGCCGTAGAAATACCGAAATTAAATTGTATTTTCATTGGTTTATACAGAGCAGACCGACACATTAATACATTTTTTGAACAGCTAGAGAAAGTGTTACATAAATTAAACACCAAATACAAAAATAAATATATTATATTGGGAGGTGACTTCAATATAAACATTTTGAACAAAAATAAACAGACGGAGAATCTTATCAACTTAATGTTTTCAAACAATCTCAAACAGATTATCAGAGAACCAACACGTGTATCAAAAGGCTCCTCAACCTGCATCGATCTACTCTTCACTAACTACATGCCCATTATTAATAAAGCCAGCGTCCAAGATTATGGTCTCTCTGATCATAAGGGTATTACACTAAAAATAAAATCGAAACACTCTTATCCTAATAATAACACAACCTGGTACTTACAGAAAAGACTATTCACAGAAAGGAACATATTACATTTTAACACTTCATTAAATGACATAAAATGGCACGAAATAATCAACACACACAACAATTTAAACACCAATTACGATTTATTTCTCAATATATTGACTAAATTACTTAATACACACATACCGATAAAAAAGCTGAAAATAAATAATAAACCAAAAAAAGAATGGCTCACTACCGGCCTTAGGAAATCATGTGCACACAAAAGAAAATTAAGGGCCTTTCTGAATGTGAATGATAATGATATTATACATAAATTTTATAAAAAGTATAGCCAAACCCTAAAGCGTAGTGTAAACATATCAAAAAAACTTGATTTTTGTAAACAAATGGAAAACTCCGATAATAAAACAAAAACAATGTGGAATATCATAAATCAAAAAACAGGTAAACAAAAAAAAAGACTCCCTCCACAAAATATATCATTAAAAATTAACAACCACATTGTAACATGTCCAACAACTATTTGCAACAATTTCAGTGAGTATTTTGCTACTGTGGGTATGGGCACGAATAACAATAAAACCAACAAAAACCCGACCCGTCGACCCGTCATAAACTCACAAATGTGCTCCATGTACTTGCGTCCTGTAGATAGAAAAGAAATAATCGACATAATACGCTCAATTAAAAATACACACAGCTGTGGCATAGATGAAATCCCCCCAATTCTATTGAAACAGTGTGCAGAAAAACTGTCAATACCGCTCACATTTTTAGTTAATCAAAGCCTTCAAGATGGCCAATTTCCAGACCCCCTAAAGATATCAATAATCAAACCGATACACAAAAAAGGCGACACCTACACACCTAGTCATTATAGGCCTATTGCTCTGTTACCCACATTTTCGAAAGTATTTGAAAAAACAATGTGTAACAGATTATACGATTTTTTAGAAAAATATAACATTCTCGATGATAGTCAAAATGGATTTAGAAAATCAAGATCAACTACACTAGCAGTATATAAGTATATCCAGACTACCATAAAACATATAAATGACAAAAAACATGTACTCGGAGTATTACTTGACATGACGAAAGCCTATGACAAAGTATTGTACGACATTCTTTTGAATAAACTAAGCGGTTCTGGTATTCGCGGCCCAGCTTACACATGGTTTTGATCATATTTAGAAAATAGATCACAAATGGTCCAAATGGACCATTTCGACCCCAATACGAATGAGGTTAAAATAGTCCGGTCTGAAAAAAGGAACATAAAGTGTTCAATCCCGCAGGGCAGCGTGTTGGGTTGTGTGCTATTTCTGATATACATCAACGACTTACCAAAAGTACTAAACAAGGAACATACATTACCTGTCCTATTTGCTGATGATATATCAATACTAATTACTTATGACAAAATCACAAAGCCGACACCACTACTTCAGGAAACTCTAGATACAGTAAATAACTGGCTCAACGACCATAACTTAGAAATTAACTATAACAAAACAAAAACTATCCAATTTAGAACATACAGAAACACCCCCGTAAACATCGACACAACATACAATGGCACACAACTAGAAACTGTAGATACATTCAAATTACTTGGTATAACTATAGACACACACATCAACTGGAAAGCACACATCGAACATACAAAAAATAAACTGTCTCGATTTACATATGCTCTATTCCAACTTAAATGCAACACAAACGAAAAAACCGCACTGTCAGCATACTACGCATAC